GTTGGGAAGTGTTCCCTCCTCTTCTATTTTTTGGAAGAATTTGTACAGAATTGATATTAATTCTTTGAATGTTTGGTAGACTCCATTTGAGTTGTATCTTTGGAGACAGCTGAAAACATGGAAAGTCCTGGGCGTCCAGGACCTTGGGCAGAGGCAGCTGAATGTGGCACACAGATCTGTCCTGATTGGTGGGCACATTATTTTAAAACATTTGAACCGACTTTGAAAAAAATCTAGAAAAGTCAGAATCTGGCAATACTGGCCCTTAATTATAATGAGTCATGGCAAATGGCCCCTGGTCCCTGGTTTGCCTCAGTCGCCATCTCTCTGTGTTAAGCCTGACACCAAAGCTGAGTGTCAGGTACCATCTGTATCAAATTTATTTCTGGACCACTTTATGTTAACTCCATGGCCAGTGTAAGTGTTTGAGTTGATGATACCTGGTTACCTCTATTGTTTGTTTGCTCATCTATAAAATGAGGACATTAATAATTCTTACCTTGGAAGATTTTGAGGAAGATTAGATGATTGCAAAGAGGTTTGGCATATAGGAGGCACTCTATAAATTTACCCTTCGCGTTTTCCTGACTGTATAGTATTCTGTTGCATGGCCATACATAATGCGTAGCACTCCTCTAATGGTGGACATAAAGGTGGACTTCAAATTTTCCCTGTTTCACACAAGGCTGGAAAGAGCATCCATGTACATAGTATGCAGTGTTGCAGGGTAGTTAAGAGTATATTAGCTCCAGTGGATTTGAATCCCAGCTATGTGACCTCTTTTTATCTCCTATCCTCTTAGAATGGTAGCGATGACAGGGTGGGTGGGATGACCTCGGAATTTGTTTAAAGACATATCTGCAAATTTTTCCGCAGGAAGGCTGAAAAGTCACAGGTGGGTGCAGGGGAAGATGCAAGAGTTTGGAGGCCTCTTCTGCAAATGTGAGAGTTGGTACACCCTATCTCAGGATCTCTCCACCCTAGGGTGTGAAGCCAAAGGCCAACTCATTGCATCTGACAGATTGACTGTTGGGCTGTCCAGGGAGATGAGATAAGTAGCTGTCAGGCAGAGGGAGGGAGGTGTCAACCACAGAACAAAGAGGTGAGAGCACTGTGGACTGGGCTGAGCTCCCCACCCTCAACCTGTCCTTAGAGTCCACACACAGCTGTTTAACCCTCTGGACCAATGATGGACTCAGACCCCTTCCTGGACTCCTTCCCTGGCGCCCTTCAGAAGTATCCATGCAACAGAGCCCCGTGACTAAACTAGCTGGCAGCCAGCTGACTGGCCTCAAGGTTGGAGGTTGCAGTGGTTATGAATTGGAGAGTTTCTGAGGTTTTCAAAGAGGAAGTAGGGCTTCTGTCTGTAGCCTATTCCTTCTCTTTGTTACTGCACAAGCCAGCCTGACACCCTTGGCTCTACTTTGTGTCCTAAACCCTCACTCTAAAAATAATAAGCCCTGATGGTTGCACACCACTTCCTATTTCAGCAACATCCATCAAGCCTTCTGATAACTGGATTGTAAATTCCAAGGTTTGGGTAATGTTCCTATGGCTATATTTCCATCAACTAGTCCAACGCCTGATACACTGTTGCTAATCAAGAAATATGTGAATGAATAAGTGAATGAATGAATGACAGGTTCTTGGAGTGCTTGCAGAGTGCCAGGTGCTAATTCCACTGGCTTGTTTCCCAAGTCCTTAACTTGAGCCTCTGTCCATCTTGATTTTTCTGGGGAGTCCTTTGGCTCCTGAAGGGAATACAGACTCTACTATATCACATTTCAGCCCTCTTTACTTCTTCATAGGTGCCCCTCCAGCAATTCTTCCCTGAGCTCTCCTTCCCCTCTGGGGATGTCACAGCCCCAACTTGGGTTATGTGACCTTGAGTTGGTCACTTTCCTTCTCACAGTGTCTGTTTTCTTGCTTGTAAAACAGGATAATTGCATCTGTCTTGCAGGGTCATTGTGCTGACTGAGTTAAACAAGCATGTTGAAGTGGTTTGCATGGTTCCTGGCACATGGTGAGGGTGGAATGCCTAGAGCAATTATTATTGTGGTGTGTAGACTGGGGAAGACTGCATTGGATGCGAGCAATGGTCTTCAACCAGGGTTAACAAACAAAGCAATTAAGCTGAATGTAGTTCATTTCTCCAAGAATGCTGCCCAGATTCTGGTCTTCCAAAGCGAGCCAGAAACATCCATCACAATTTTAACACTTTTAGGAAGCCAACTTGCAGATACTTGCCCACTTAGGCAAATATTGATTTCCAATATTAACTGTAACCCACATTTGTCAAGTACTTGCTTTGGACCAGAGTTTTATGTGAATTATCTTGAGGAATCTTCAAAAGAACCCTGTGATGAAAAAACTATTATTATTCCATTTGACCGATGAGATAAGAAGCACACAGAAGTTAAATGACTTGCCCTAAGGTCACAGAGCTAGGTTCCCAGTTAAGAGGCCATGACTCCCCCTACTTAGTTTGGCTCAGTGGTTAGAGCATCGCCCTGCCGACTGAGTTCAATTCCAGCCAAGGGCAAGTACCTCGGTTGCAGGCTCGATCCCCAGCCCTGGTGAGGGCACCTGCAGGAGGCAATCAATCAATGTGTCTCTCTCACATTGATGTGTGTGTGTGTCTCTCTCTCCCCCACTCCTTCCCTCTCTTCCACTCTCTCTAAAAACCGATGGAAAAATATCCTTGAGTGAGGATTGAAAAAAAAAGAGAAAGTGTGAGGGATGGCAGTGGGGGTGGGCTGACATTGTTAAGGGACACTGGCATCCGAGGGTTGACATAGAGAGCTCTTGGCTACTTGCTGTGTGACTGGATGAGTTGTTTACTCTCTCTGAGCTTCTGTTCCTTCATCATAAGGATAATAAAATCAATTGCACAGGCTTATTGTGAAAATTAAATAAGACAAAGCTTATAAGGGCCCTAGGACAGTGCCGGGCACACAGTGAGCTGTTTGCAAAGGTAGCTATCTGCTATGATCCTGGGGACATTCCTGCCTGAGCCCTGTTGCCCCATCTTCTTTTCTGGGCATGTGCAATGCAGGCGTCTTGGCTGTGAGCTGTAGACACCACATCAGGAGGACTGAAGGAGAAAAGGAATTCATTTAAAAGATGTGGAGGGCCCGAGCCGGTTTGGCTCAGTTGTTAGCGCGTCGGCCCGCAGACCGAGGGGTCCTGGGCTCAATTCTGGTCAAGGGCATGTATCTTGGTTGCAGGTTCATCCCCAGCCCTGGTTGGGGTGCATGCAGGAGGGAACCAATCAATGTTTTTCTCTCTCTCTCTGTCTCTCTCTGTCTCTCTCTCTGTCTCTCTCTCTTCCACTCTCTGAAAAGCAATGGAAAAAATATCCTCAGGTGAGGATTTAAAAAAAAAAGATATTGAGGAAGCTCACAGAGCCAGGCTTAGATAGGAGGCTCCATCAAGGGAGACTGGGAGCCCCCAGGCCCACACACCCCAGGACCAGCCAGAGTTCTCTGCAACACTCTCCTGCTCAGGGTTCTCTGAGAGCCAGAGATAGCAACCCCCACTCCTCCTCACCCCCACGTAGGGAAATCCCAATGGCCCAGTTCACGGTGGACCAAAAATCAGCATATTCAATTAATGCCAAACACACCCATTTGGACGGAGCACCTCTCTGTGCCAGGCAATTTGTCATTCAGTCTGCGAAAAGGGTTTGGTGCACATGGAGCACTCTGAGCCTCGCAGTAACTTGGGGTCGCTGAGGAGGTGTTCAGCCACCAGCCGGGGACCACTGCATTAGAGCTGAAACATGATGTGGGAACAGGGAGGGACGCTCAACCCGTCCTTACAGTGTCCCCAAAACAAAACCAAAACAAACACGAAGATTCAGCACGAGGTGGGCAGCTCCTCCCGTCAGGCCTCAGCGCCCCCAGCCCGCCTGCCTGCGCCCTCCTTGCTATTTCTGGCAACTTCAAACGTAGCACCTTCCTGTCGTCTGTCGCACCCACGGGGGCCAAGCCACAGGCAGCGGCTGCCCACTCGCCTGCCCGCCGGGTCCCTCCTTCTCCGGTCAGAGGAGACTTCTGCAGAGCCAGGCGAGGAGCCTCACGCAGGAGGCCCTTTTTCTGGGGTATTTGTTCTGAGACCTGGGGCTGGGTTGGGAGGAGTTGGGAAAAAGAGAAAGGGGTCTGGGTTTTGATGGGTGCCTGGGTCCCCAGGGACACTTGGGATAAAGAGGGAAGGGTAGTTACTGAGAAAAAGGGGAAGGGCCTTGGGGCACGTGCTGAGCCGAGGTGGTCCCGGGGCTTTGCGGCCTTCAGTGAAAGACGGCAGAGAAGTGAGGTGCTAACAGCAGACAGCCGAGCACCCAAGGCATCTTCCCGGCAGGCCAGTGAGGGGGCCTGAGGGACTCTTGGCCCACTCTCTTATGCTGACCCCGGTGAGAGAGCTGAGCGGGGCAATCTGGGTGGCAGGACACTGGGGTTTCCTTAGCCACCCAGAAAAGCTGTGTGGATGAGCAAGGATGCAGGGGCTCTGCTTGGTGGACAGTCCCCTTGGTGGGGAGCCTGTGGTTGTAGAGTCATGGAGTCATGAGTCCCTCCCAGCACGGAGGAGAGTGGCTTCTCAATTCCCTGTGGTCCCGAGGAGTCTGGAACATTCCCTCAAGTCTCTGAGCTCACCTGGGAATAATCTTCATGATGACCTTGCTCTCCCCGCTCTTCCCCAGGGATGGGAATCAGGCCGTCTCTGCTTCCCACCTCTGACTGGCTAGTCTCCATTCCATCCGCTTCCTGCACCTACCAGGAGCACAGCATCGGCTTCTAAATATCAGCACTGGGAGAGGCCTTGCCCATCAGCCAGTCCAACCTGCCCATTTTGCAGGTAGGGAAACTGAGGCCAGGAAGGCACTGACTGGCTCAAGGTCACGCGGTGGTTTAATGGGAGGGCCAGCCCTTGAAACCGTGATATTTGGAGGATCTTTACTGATCATCTGTGACTGACTTGTCTTCCCAGGAGGTAGCGGCGGCATGAAGGGCAAACCTGCTCCAGAACTGGATTGTTGCCACAAGACTAAGCCCCTGAGGAGCACAGGGAGCTCCCTGTCCCCCAGCCTGGACCTCCAGCCCTGCCAAGACGACCAGGTACCGTGGAATCCCAGCCCTATCCTTGAGGCCAGCCTGCTTATGGAGGGAGGGGACATTAGGAGGAAATGGGGGGAAATATGAAGAGACCTGGATTCCCATCATCCCCTGGCCCTGAGCGCCCCTACCCCAGCACATCATGGGGATGGGCCCTGGAGGTGCCAGGGACCCTCTCCCGTGCCCTAGGGGCCAGACTCTCCTGTGGGCCATGAGAAATGGACAGGACCAGGCAGGAGGCTTGGTGATATGGTCTTGGCCTTGGCCTTAGGGCCCATCTTGTGGGCTTTACAGTAGTGATGAGGATTTTCTCCAAGTTCACCTTGGCTCCATGCAAAAGAGAGTAGATGGTCTGAGACATGGTGGGACCAGGGTGGTTAGGAAAGGAGGTGGGAGGGAGAAGGCTAAGTAAGGGGCTCTAGGAGCAGGGGGAAGGTAATTCTGGGATAAGTATGAAAGTCCCTTGGGAAAGAAATCTTTGAATGAGGGAAAGGGAAGCCATTTGAATGACAGATATGGTGAGGGTGAGCGGTTCTTAGCTTCTTCTCCCCCTTTGGAAACCAAACTAGGGGTGAGATCATCCCAGGGACCCAGGAGTCACAGCCCCCAGCCCCTTGACCCTTGACCCTTGCCCTCCAGGTCTTCGCAGACTGCAGGCCACTTCCAGACACAGTGGACATCCATGGCCCATCCTGTGCCAGTTGGCAGTGCCCCTTGCCATTGGCACCGACCAGGTCTGCCCTGCTGGCCTACCCGCAGAGCCTGGACCTCTACCTATGTTCCCTGCAGCCGGCACCCCTGGGCACAGCCCCACAGGGTCTCAGAGAGGACTCCTTGAGCATGAGTAAGCACAGGCCAGGGGGCTGCACCTTGGAGAAGGCTGGAGGTGGGGGGCACTGTTAGGTTCCAGGATGGGAGGGGGAGGGAACCCAGTTTCACTGGTAAGGACAGAGCCTCAGGCACACTTGACTAGCACATTTTGGCCTGGATTTTTGACCGAGGGTCNCAGGATGGGAGGGGGAGGGAACCCAGTTTCACTGGTAAGGACAGAGCCTCAGGCACACTTGACTAGCACATTTTGGCCTGGATTTTTGACCTAGAGTTCCAGGGGACTTTCAAGGTGGTGACACCTGAGCCAGAGGAGCTGGGCAGTGGCTTTCTCGGGCATGGGTATGGTATTTGGTGTAGGTGGGTTGAGGATGGCACTTGCCTACCTGTTTGAGCTATAGGAGTCTTTATTATGAGTAAGGAGCACTGACTGGGAGTTGGGGGGGGAGTTCTGGTGCTGTCCTTTTAGCTCAAAGACCTTGGGAACATCACTGAAGCTAGTTTCTTCTTCCATAAAAGTCAGCTCTTTCTATCCCCATGTTCTAGGCTTGTTGCGATGTGATATACCATTCCTTTAGGCCACTGTGACCTCCTGGAGGGCAGCGACTGTGTTGCTGTATCCTTTATCACCTCCCTCCCTCCTCACCCCCCACAAGAGCACAGAGTGAAACACCTTAGTCACTGGTTGAGTGACTAAATGAGAATCCAAGCAGACAATCTACATTTTAATATTTTTTCTTTTTAGTATTTTACTTTATATCACTCCTGGTTAGCTCCTACCTCACTGGCTATTGCATCTCAGTCCCCCTTGCTAAGCTCATCTCTACCTACCTCCTAAATATTCACCTGTTCAGTCCAGATCCCTTCCCTTCCCTTCCCTTCCCTTCCC